TATTGATGGGTTGCAAGCATTCCCAAGAAAGTTAAAAGACAAAAACATGGCGGCCATTGTGGTACCGTTAACAATGGGTGCTAATGAGAAATCTTATGTTAAATGGTACCAACATGGCCGTGATGACGTAACGTGCAAAAGAAGAATATACACCGAATMMCTAAAACTTTGACACTTTAACGATATACATACATATATGTGTATCCCCCTTTTTTCTATTGTCTTACCTGCATTTTCAAGGAGAGACAATAGCAAAAAGGGGATACATATATATGTATATATATCGCTAAATTGTCAAAGTTTTAGGGATTCGGTGTGTATATACATAAATATATAGTGATACTATTGAGGTTTAATGGAATTTTAAATTTTAAAATCGTACTCTACAACCTTAAACGTATAGGAACTGTGTTGGCGTATGGGCGAGCATACTGATTCCACCAAAGATATTCTGACCACACGCCTCGCGATCAACTTAGTTTCCCACTAGAAACCTTTTAAACCTATTAGAAATGGGATTTAATCACTTTTATTTTCTGCAGGAGAGTAGCTATTCATTCACTGAATTCCAATTAAAATTTAGAAGTCRATTTTTTTTGAAGTGAGCAAAACCGTAGAACCCTGGACAAAACCTCGAAGCACAGGAAAGAAAGCAACTCTACTCAGATACGACACACCAAATCTAAGTGAGCAACCGGTGTATAGCTATTTGATAATGTAACAGAGTAAAAAAATAAAAGATGAAACATATTATTAGAGAGGAATCCAATTTAGCCAGCGAAGAAATTCCCAAAAGGATATCACCCCATTTCCATCACTGTCCATTGTTTGAAATTCTTTATCGTTGTTAACTTGTTGATATCCAAGGGAACGTACAAGCCTCAAAAACTCTTTTCTATCCAGAGATCCGTTTTCGTTCCTGTCAAACTGCTTGAACAATTCCACTGCTTTGGATATTAAATAGAATCTTGATTTATCATTTATGCATCGATATCGTTCGTCACTATGGAGCCAGTCGACCAACTCGGTATAGCTCACTCTGTGGTCGCCATTTTTGTCGATCAATAATGCGAAAACGTCAGCTTGGTYTGTGTTCATGCCCAGGTCCTGCTCCAACAGGCTCCTCAGCTCTTCTTCTTCCAAGAAACCATTTTTGTTTAAGTCGTATTTCGAAAATAAACTCTGGATGACAACATCTGGCGTACTAAGCGTCAGATATTTTTCACCGGCTTCCATCTTTTAACTTTACGAGAATAAAGTGTTGGATTTTCAACTATACCTCACGTCGCCTGTTTTGCTCTTTGAGCATGATATACTAGCTTATCTATTTGTTTACGTGAGAGCATTCGAAAATGTTTCAAAGCTCTAAGTACGTACGTTGGAATTACGTCGAATTACTGCTCTTGTCACTCTTCAAGTGGCTTAAAACTCAGTTAGCAGTCTATACCGGTAGTTGTATGTTGTATGGTAACTTTTCTCGAGAGCCTGTTGCCCTTTCAATTATTATCCGCTCCTTAATCATGCACAGAAGCCCGATTTAGACGTTAACGTCAATACTACAAAAATCAAAAAAATGAACGATTTTAAAAACTGTACTAATTAAGAAAAGAAACCGTATAATTCTAGCAAAACTTCTCAACGATTAAGAGGTCGGAGTTCCTGTAAGAGCGCACCACTGGGTTTCGGCCCCAAAAATAGATTTCTTTTATATTTTTACCATCGAAACTACTATCTGTCCTTACTACAAAACTGGAGTTGGAATCGTTTTAAATTCTTTTTTTCGTGCATTTTTGTCCATCCACCCCAAATCAGTCAAAACRCGCCGATTTTCAAAGTCGCCGAGGCATATTTTCAAAGTCCTATTTTTCTCGTTTTTTTTCCTGTAAATAAAAGCTTGATTTTTAACTCCTGGATATGCGAAGCGTAGAAACGAGTTATTGTGAGGGGTCTGAATATGCAAATGTGTCACTCGTTCACTCACTAATAGATGTTAGCAGCTCGATGATTAACACGGCACTAACAAGCACAAAGCTTTTATTCAGTATAGACTACTTTCGATACTGCTGGTGTTTCATGGGATATTCCTAGCACTGTGGAACCACTGTGCACATGCGCACACTCGCACTTAGTTTTATCCGTTGGATTATTTATATCAAAAGAATCAAGGAAAGATGCCAGTTGAAGTAAAATAATACGATTAACGCCTAAAGTTAAATTCCAATGAATCAAACCTTTCTTCCTCTTCGGGAATTGGTAACAAGCCAGTTACGGCAATCATGATTTTATCGGGCCTTTGCTTGACGTCATCCCATTTATTAGATTGATGTTAGTTCCTGTTATGTAAGTGCATGAAGCACATAATTTAGTGAGTTGCAGAATGCAGTTACTTCAGTTTAGTTGAAGCAGTGACTGGATGTAAGGAAGAAGGAAAGCCCGAATAAACTGAACAGCAATCAACAGAAGCCTCTGTATCTGCATGCATCTGAACAATCTGCGCTTATTTTTGTCTCAAACACGGATGATAGGTACTGTTCTGGTACTACTTACCTAGTTTGACAATTACTTTAATTGGGCGTTTATTGCAAAACAAATTCTATAGTCAGGTAAAATAGACGCTTTCAAGAGCACTGAATAGCGCATACTCAAAATGATTTTCAAAGAATTTCCGTTAACGCCGGAAAAAATATATACGCTTTGAGTCTTAACTGGAGAATAGTCTTAAATATCGCACACTCAATAGGATTTTCAAATGAAAAATACATAAGCCGACTACGTCTTCACCTTTTTTCTGGACATGTTTTTGTGTGATGAGTGATAAGTCACTGGGAATATTAGGAGTACCCATCACCCCGTTTGCATTATACACTATACCCCTTACGATGTAATACTCACCTGTCAAGTGTTCCGACCCCTATAAAGTAACTAGTGCGGGGTTCAATAGACAGACAGAAAGAAAAAAAAAAAACGAACACCAAACGGACAGCTTCCTTTCGAATTCCTTAAAATGCAATACCCAGCCAAGTCAAGTGGACACGGGTGCGTCAGAGATAAAAGACTACGATCATCTTAAAAGTACGATAAGTGTTTTTATTTTGAATTTAGATCTCTTAAATGTATAGAGTGTAAACAATATAACCGTGAAACTTTAGTAATACTAAATAGCACAATTTCATGCAAATTCCATTGTTTTTTATTGTTTACTTAGCACTATTTTGTACTATTTAGTAATTAGTGTTTCACGGAGTTTGCTCTCTAACTTCGAAACTTGACTTTCATTAAAATGATTATATGATGCGAAAGTGAAAGGCAGTAAGACTGTTTACGATAAGGAAGTTACATTAGGAATAACACTTCCTTTTGAAAGATATTTTTATTGCATTCAATCCTTTAACGTAATTAAAAACTAATTGTAATATGCTTATATTATAATCCTAACGTGATATCTGCCATGTTGAATTTCATCGACGCCATCCAAGCTGGCCTTTGCCAATATTTTGATAATGAGGTATTTTTTGGTTTATTTTATTTTTTTTGCATTTGTGGCTTCAAGAGACTTTCGTGTTAGTTGTTCAAGGAATAGACAAATATAACGTCACCACAGATTGCCCTATATGAAAGACTTCCACCTTAGCAGTCATTCCGAGGTTGAGGAAATAACTCGAACAAAGTGATATTGCAATGCATTGTGGGAATTGTTAGGGTGACATATATTTTTWAATGGCGTCTATTTTATCCCCTAAAACAGTTCCACGATGCAATGCGATAAGTCGACCCAACATGCTCAAGGGTTCTATACACGAAATGTTATCGTTTGGGTAATAAGTCTACTTTTGCACAAACATTGCATTTCAGTTCCCTGCCTAGAGCATGGCTAACATCCCTGCTCCACAGTATGGCTAACATGAAAGCACTCTCTTACTGATAGATTCAAATGCTTGAGCTAAACTGGAAAATAAAGGCAAGTCAAATCGTTTTGTTTTTCTATCGTATAGCCTGTCATGACGCAACACCGAAAACATTTATATACACATGCCTTATCTTAAAAGATTTAACTGTAATATTTGAACTAAACTGGAAAATAAAAGCAAGCTGCTTTCGTTTTTTTTATAGGCTGCCATGACGCAAGACTTCGAAAATAACATTTATATACATGTCCATACATCTATTTTATTGCCAAAGGCGATAGATCATTCCGATACGGATATGGTTTCGTCGACTACAAACAGCATTGAATCAGTCTCAGTACTAAGGTCCTTGTTCTTGACGAGAATAAGAAACAGAAAAACAAGTCATTCCAGCTATTCTTGCATCTTGGGATGACCTATCGCCTTTTGCGATGTCAACGTTTTTTTGAAATACAGTAGATGTATATAAATATACCTTTTTGTCCCGTGTTCTCTTGCTACAGAGAAAGTGCATATTACTAATCGGCAAACCATTTTTTTTTTAATTCTTAAAACGCTTTTTTTCGCGCATGTTTACGATATGAGCGTGGCGTGATAACATTAAAAATACGTGGTTGGTTTGGTTATATAATGCTATATATACATCAGACCAATAAGGAAATTCCACTGGAACACGATAATATTCTACACAAAATCGAGGTGAATCCTGGGCATCAGAGAAATCAAAACTGGAGTATTACCCAGTGATCGATATTCACTTAAGGGTGCCAACTGACCACGACTAAAGAATCGGTAGATGTAACTTCCCTGAGAATTTCCTATATTTTCCTGACTTTTCCAGGTGTCGGTGTTAACTTTCACCCTCACTACTAGCTGTGGTATAGAGGGCCCAGGATGACCTGAGCCGACACCAATGAAGACTGCGAAAGATTACCTTTGCGACAAAATAGTTTTAGTCTAAACCTACTAAATGTATACCATACAGTTAATCCTGTACTCTGATTGACTGACTTACTAATGGTCTATTAGTAATAGTCCACTCACAAAGAAAAGTGAAGGTTTCGACAACCCCAAAACTGCGAATGACTAGATTTTAACCTAATTTTAAACTTGTATCTATTTATTTTACCAATTAGCAGGTTTCTTCTAAAACAATTCTGCGTTTTGTTAATAGAGCCCTTGCATTAAACGTCAAAGCAGCTTGATTTGGAGGACAAAACAAAATTATTTCATTGTCATGAGAATTGGAAACCCATTGTTATGTTCTCCAAATTGAGCTGCGTTCCGACGTGCTGCAAGGGGTCTACAGCCCATTCCACCTTCGGCCTCGTGGGTTATTGACGTGTAGACCATTCGGCCTGCGGATCTAACTGTTAAATAGTTTTAACCTCTGCTGGCCCCAACACTGTACTTCATTTGGCTGCTTCTTTTAATTCTTCGATGGATTTCATTTCTGGGCATCCTTTCTTTTTCCGCACAAGGACATTTTTCAGCGTATAACGGGTGTTGGTCGAGGCGGTACTACTTGTAGTAGTGGTTGATGTGGATTGGACATTTGCTGTCACTAGCTGTAAAGATTCAAAACAGGGGGGGGGGGGGCTGGTTAAGAAATATAGCAAACCTCGCAAGTTAAGAAATGCCTCTTTATGTACAGCTCCTGACCACCTTACATAGCTTTTAAATCTTTCCCTCTAAGTCCCTGCTTTGTTTGTTTGTATTTGTCATCTATTTTTTTATGTCTTCACTAGCATAAGTAAAATTGTATCCCAACGAGCCTTTCATTCATCTTATTCAAACCTATCCAATATTATCTCATGCCATCCTATCCTTTCTTATCCCTACCTTTCCCTAGCCTCCCTTCTTGTCCTTCCCTTTCATTTACTTTTCGTTTTTTCCTTCCTGCCTATTTCACTTCCTGCCTATTTGACTTCTTGCCTTTACCCCCCTCCCCTTTCCTCTCCCCTCTTGAGAACTGAATGACTGTTAATTCTTTCCCTCCCGGTTCCCGTATTACCTGTGATGCAGAGGTTCTAGACCTTTGGTTTATCTCCTGAAGGTGCCAGTTGGGCCCACAAGGAGGACAGCTGATAACGATCACAAACAAAAATAAACATTCACGGAATAACAGGGTTCGTACTACTAGGAGATAATAAAATTCCAGAATTTTTTCAGGACCCTCAACATTAAAATTTCACGTCAGAAATAGCGAAACAGTTTTTCTTTAGAACAAGCGACCACTAGGTGTCGGCAGAATTACATTACCTTGCCCTGTAACTTTCTAATATTTCAGGGGGTACCATGCGCGTCAGTTCGATCGCTTCCTTGAACTTCATCAGATACTCGTACGTTTCTCTCCCTCGAACTTGAATAGTGAACAGCTCGTCATCTTCATCTTCTTGTTTTATGTGCAAAGGGCCTACATGTTCAGTAGTCGTCTCATGAACAGCTAACAACATAAATACATCATTTTATTAAAACATACCTTCTTTGCTCCGGCGAAGGACCAACTTCCGAAACGTTAGTTGATTATCATCAAATCATGCTCACGTTAGTTATATGTATATCATTCAAATCAATAGGCTAGGCAGGGCAGGGCAGGGCAGAATAGAATAAAATGGAATAGAATTGACATTTTTCCCTACTGCGATCAAATGAGGGAACATAAAATATCAACGTGTTTACAACGTTTTCCCGTGTCTTTTAAACTAAAAACACAGTTAACGAATGCGTTTCTAGTTCTTTGTCCATGCGTTTCATCCGAGTTCCTTGAAATGGATCCCCTCGAGCATTGCAAGACAGTTAATGAAAAATAACAGTTACATACAGTACCTTGGTTTACTGACATTTTTGATTCACGGTTTGAACTGGTATCTACTGGAGTTTCTTCAATCTTAGTATAATATAAAAACAATCCATTAGAACATCGTCACATTATGGCGATGATCATGATGATGAACATGATAATGATAATGACAATGGTGATGATGGCAAAAATCACCGAAAAGTATGCGTATATACCGAGGTTTAAGCTCCGAATGACAACACAACAATATCAATGTTAGATTGATCAGTTACAAAAAACTGATAACTATTGGTTACTAGTTAGGACTGAGTGAGTGTGTTGAATGCAACGATGAAAATAAATAAATGAAACTTAAACTCCATTTTAAAAAGTTTATCACAATACTGATGTTTTGGGTGCTAGTCCTTCTGTTAATTTGTTCAGACGAAGAACTAAATAGACCATTTCACAGATCCCGCGGCTCAACCTCAGCCTCGTCAGCGTGTAATATATTCTTTAGAAATTGCCTACAACCTGTGAAATTTTTAAGTGTTTCAATTGTTCGTTGATGTGTAACTTGCTTTCATTACTGCGGACTGTAGTCAAATTCTAAAGAATAATTACACGCTGACAAGGCTGAGGTTGAGTAACGGGATCCGTGAAATGGCCTATTGCTTACTATCAATCACGTGACTTTTTTGGAGTTGACTGGGGGGCAAACAAGCGGTTGACCGAGGGGCAACTAGCGAATGTTAAGTCAAAACATGTCAAAATAAGTCCTCAAACTATTGTATTTGACTATTTCTACGACATGAAACCAGAAAACAAGAGATCAAAACAACCTCCAAGGTTCTACAAGCCATCAAAAAAGAGCTATTACCGGAAGTGACGTCTATTGATAGCAACCTATTGCAAAATGTTTGTTACGATATTTTGTTGCCCTTACTACTGTACCTTGACTTTCTTTTTGGGTACAGGTCCACTGCTATCAGAGGCAGATAATTTCCTTGACATTCTCACGGAATTCACCTCATTGTCTCGTGTACGACCAGGAGTAGAGCAGATTTTGGTCTTTAATGTCTTTCTCCCATAAACTTTGTCCCTGGAAAAGATATAAGAAACATCTATTGAGAAAAGAAGGTAGAAAAAATATTTTTTTCGAGAGACAAATGACTAAATGTACTTATCAGGTTGAGAATATGGCTTGGCCAAGATATATGTTCAACTGGACTCCTAACAACTAATACACCTTACATTTTATTATATTACGTGGCATTTTTAAAATAGACGTTACAGATACAGTCACATCTCTCAAAGCGATATTAGTTAAACTGCTAAGTTTAGAGATTTTTCTATTCTCCACAGGAAAATGATCAGCCCAAAGATTGTTTCAGGGTTCATGGCTGTAACCTTGCTTAGATCAGCCCAGAGGTTGTTCAATCCGTGTGAGTTAGACATACGTAGGTATGACATACGCCTCCAGGTAGGTGACTTCGATCAGCCCTGAGGTTGTTTCAGAGTTCGATCTGAAAATCAACTATTCTCTGGCTTTGAGCAGCCCATTGGTGTTCCAGTTTTTACTAAATTGAGGGTTTCCTTTTTATTTAAAATAACTGAATCGATCCTAAAATAATTGCCCTATTTCACTATGACGTCACATCAAAACAATCTATTGTTTAAACGCAAAGGATCATGGTCGTCAGAGGAGGTCAAATCAACGCAAATTCACCGAAAATTGTTCTAAAACCCGTATCAATCCACGCAGAGAAATAGAATAACCAGCAAACGCCCAGAATATTTTTTAGTACATATTAACACATATTATATCTGAAAACCAGGCCATTTTAGATTAAACTGTTTTGCTAGGAGCAAATTTTGTTGAATTTTCTATTGGATTCGGCGATTTTATTCCCCACATAAACAAGCAGTGACGTCATAGTGAAATAGGGCAATTGTCTGATATATTAATAGAAAGAAAAAAAATAATGAATGAGTGGGAATATATTATATTTGCAATGAAAAGCTAAATTAAAGAGTGTTCATTTGGACAACGAAACAAGCCCTACATTTAGATACTTAGTTTAGAGAGAAGAATGGTATGCACAAGGGTTTGAGCACAYCCTATTCTCATCATTGTTAAATAAAACATACCTAGGTTTATCAAATATTACAATAGTAATGAACTTACTTGTAAAGAAGAGTAAAAACAGCTTGGAAAGGACGCCTTTCAGGTCCTCCAGGGCACGTGGTCAAACACATAAATCGAATAAACTCCAGTTTAAACATACAGTCAGTCTGGCCAGCTACAAACAAACAATCAAAACATTCTGTCTAAAGGCACCATTACACGGAGCAATTTTCTCTGAAATTGTCTCGCAACGCTGTTGCGGCACACGTCTACACGGTGCAACACAGACGTGATCGTTGCAAAAAGTAGCAAGTAATGGTGCAATGCCCCATGCAACTTGTCACAACCCTGTTGCAAAAAAAAAGTTGCAGAGCAGATTGCTCTGTGTATTTCCGCCTTAATGCTTGCTATTACAGTTAATTTACGTCAGGCCAACATGGCAGCTATGACTTTTGTCTAGAAAGTGATGCATGCCAGCAATTAAACTACCAGCCAGATTCTTCAAGTTTTTAAGATAAACAAAAAACTCTAGAAGCAATAAGCACATGAGGAAACCAACAAACAAATCTAATCACACACGACACCAAGTTCCAGAATTGAACCCTGGTCATATTGCTGAGAGGCAAACACTCATACTGCTATGCCACCCATGCTTCCCAAATGGATGATGGCTGTAAGGAAAACAGTCTAAAACATGCTGAACATGGCTAGGTAGGTTGGGCATGTACAGTAAATTTTGACAGGGTGGATAAAGGAAAAAATTAAACTTACTTTCCAATTTCGTGAGTGGAAGGATCAAGACATGTTGTCCAGTTTGATGGCAGGTCCCATACACTGCATCTTTATTGGCGGTCTCCACAATGTGTTGCCCACTCTGTAGACTCTCTGCATGCAAATTCAACCATGTTTAGATTAGATTTTAAGAACAAGGCACAATTTATTTATTTATTTATTTATTTWTTTTTTTGCGCATTTCTTCCCTTCTCCTTTTTCCGAGACTGAACTTTTCAACAATCTAGTTTCAGAACATATGTAGTCTAGTTTCTCAGTCTTTGGTTTATATGCAATAGACCCTATTGCCAATCAATTATTACTACATGTACAGTCTGTACATGTACCATAAATTCAAATAAGTTAAATACTGTCAGTTCAATAAACAAGCAGGGGTGTTTTATGTAATGTTTAATAAACGAGCAGGAGTGTTTTATCGGGTATAAAACACGAGGCGCAGCCGAGTGGTTTTAGACCCGATAAACCACGATCTGCGAGATTATTGAATGGCTTAGAAAACTTATGATGTTTGTTCTCATTGTGTACCGATTTTTTTACGAAATGAACCAAGTTTGATAGAGAAAATCCAAGTTAAAGTTTATGCAAATGAAGACGAATCTTTATCAGATATAAAATCACCTTCATGGTCATGATTTCTATTGTGTTTTCTTCATGAATTATTAATGAGTTTTCTAACAGGTTTTAGAACCGCTAAGACAATGACCTGCGGGTTAATTGTACATCTTGAAAAACTTGACAAATTGACCATACATTTATAGTCGCAAACATGGACTTCTATACTTTAATAGAGGTTTGTACACCACGGCCATGCACATTGACTCTACAAGTTCCCACAAGTTGAAGACACAATGACAAACTCAAGACAGGGTCACTTGTTGACTTTGTGAATCATATGCGATGATTGTACGTTAAAATAACCTTGATGAATCTCTAAGTCTTTATCTAAACTTAGATGCTCCTTTATCTCTGATAACATTTTTCTTCATTAGTATTTTTTATAAAGAGAATGCTAATGAAGAGGACTTTATCAGGTTCAAAGGTACATGTACATGCCATGTATGGTTACTCCAATTGGTCATTTGAATTATTGGTTGCCAAAGGTATGTTCTTAATACATTCAATAAGTAGAGAAGACTAAGATATTGTCAGACTGTACCTGGATTTGAAACATGATTGGGACACCTTTGAACTACATGTCTAGAATGCTCAGTGCTGCTGTAAACAATTTCAATCCTGATGGCTAGGAACTGGGCAACTTCTGGACTTAAAGGCCCTGAGAAAAAGAAAAATTGTGGACAAGTGTTAAAAGCTAACAAAAATACATGTACATTAGAATTAAGAAACTAAAACTTAATACCTTTCAAAGTAAATCCATAAGGTGGCTGACTACTTTTCAACATTCGATGTGCGCTCAGTCAAAAAGCGCTGAATAATCTTCAAGATTTTATTGAAGAGCCATACATGTACACGTTTTGAACTTCGAGAGGGCAAAGCCCAAAAATTTTGCACAGGACTCTATATATTTTTTGTTATTTTCCGAAATAACAGGTGAATATCCCATTATTTTTAAAAGCTCAAGTCAATTCTGTTTATTAGAACAATGTAAAAAACCATTCTGTTTGCTTTGTGCTCAATTTTTGTGATAACTTACACAACGTAGAACCTGAACCAAAAAACGTTTTTCCATTGTCTACAATAGTTTATTAAAACAACTTTTATCAGTATTTTATAAATATAGTGTAAGTAGCGTGTTTGGAGAAAATTACTCATGTTTCTTCCTTAGTTTTGGTTTCATGATTTTTTATTTATTTATTTATTTGTACGGAGCTTGATTTTTGCTATTTTTCTTCAAATTGTACAATTTCATGTCATTCTGGAGTGATTATCTCAAAAACAAGCTCGGGACACCCCATTTTTCTTTGCATTTTTGAAATCAGCATTAAACTTCAGGTGAAAAAAGTTTCAATTTTCTGATTATTATGTACCAAAGTAGTCAGCCACCTTAAGGAACTACCTATATACTAAGGAACTAGAATCTGCAACTATCCATCTTCCTTAAATCGTTATTTTCGAATGTCAGTATAGTGGCCATAATCACATTATAAAGTCTATATAGTATTTTAAAAAGCTTATGAAAATACATTAATAAGAAAATAAAACTTTTCTACCTTTCAAAGTAAATCTTAAAGGGATGTCTACATTTCTTTTCGCAAACAGCTTTTCCGCCTCATGTGAGAAAATCCAAGGAGAAGCTTTCGGCACAGGTTCTGGTTTTATCTCGAAATTGATTGCAAAATCAAATGGTCCAGGGAAGTCTTGATCAGGAGAAATATTGGAGCATAATGAAGGCATCAATACAGAAGTTGGATGGATTTGATTTACCGCAGGCTTTGGAAGGATTTGATGATGTCTTGTCATAGTTGGCTAAAATGGAAAACATTGAACATATAAATGTGTTAAACATGGGATAACTGGGAAAAAAATAAAGAAACCAGTAGAAACCAATAGAGAAAACTGAGAAAAGCAGGCATAATGCAAATAAGAACCAAAGAAGAAAACAAAGCAAAACAAAACAAAACAAAGCAAAACAAAAAACAAAACAAAACAAAACAAAGCAAAACAAAACAAAGCAAAACAATACAAAACAAAACAAAGCAAAACAAAACAAAAACAAGAGGCCAGGAATTGAGAGAAACAATGGAAAACAAAATGGATAAAAGGAAGAGATGTAATTAAACAAAAAGAAAACAAAGATTCACTGAAGAGGTATTATAGTTATAATTCAATATGGTTTTTATGTCTAGTTTACATATTGTCATGCATGACATGGGGGGAGGGAGGGGGGGGGGCTTTTACCATGGCATTTTTTTATAATTAAGAACTTGTAATCAAAGCACGGTGGCTGCTACTATAGAAAAATTCCAGGAAAAACTTTATAAAAAACTTTCATAAATTCTGAATTTTATTTGAGATCTTGTGATTTCCAATACCAAAGAAATGCAAAAAAATGTACACTTATAATTACCACTTAAATACATGTAAGTAAAACCCATGTAATTCTTTTCCAATTTTTCCAGAAGTTTATTTTTCACAGTAATTAATAGAAGTACCCATTTGGAAATTTGTATATAATTATTAGGAAATCTCAGGATCTCAAGTACAATTCAGATTTTTTAAGTATGACTGATGTTTTGAAAGTTTTCAAAATTGGACGAGCCTTTAGGCAAAAAAAAGGAGGTACACAATGGTAAAAAAGGCTTGACTTCTACTAACATTTATTGTGCATGAGGCATCATGGTGAAAACCTGCTGAGCTACTCCCGCCACTGTCCTCTATCTGAAACGTGGTTGGATTTACATAGCTACAAGATGGCTGAGGGAAGAAAGAAATATATGTACCACAAGTTAAAAGATGCAGGGTAATTTAAAGTGCATACAATTACCCAAGAACAAACCACTTTTGTCAAATACCAGACATCACCAGCTTTTAAACGATACGTGTATACATATGAGGTGGATTGAAGAATTCCTGTGGGAGATATTGATGTATAAAGGTGCAGTTTTGGGCTTCCTGTGTCAGCATGACCAAGGAAAAGTGATCTGTAAACGAGAGTAATCTGTGACGTCAAGATGGCAATTGGAGTATGCATATAGGTACTCAGCTTCTGAGAGACAGCAATCCATCTCTATCCAACTACCAAACACAACTGTATTTGTACACAATGGAAGTTTGAAGTTGTTCTTGAGTGTTGTTATCATTTGACATTTCGAGGGTACTTCTCTTGTCGTCATTTCTGGTAACTCCTTCCAGACCCAAAAATCCCAGCCAGGACGGGGCAAAAAATATATTCAAATTGTTAAATCAAGTTCTGACAACAGAAATGGTTTATTGGAACCTTCAAGATTACTCATCATTTTAATCATCTTAAGGGTTATATGCAATTTAAGGTTAATTCCAGATTAACAAAGTAAAAAAATTATTGAGAACATTATCAAACTCACCTTATACAATATGTAATGACATGAAATTCCAGAGAGGAGATAATTAATAGATACTATACTCCTGGTATCTATATGTATACTATCAGACTACGTGTTATTCTCTAGAGTATCATTTCTTTGTTTCAAAAGTTTTGTATGAGAAGACACATGAATACAATACAAACAAAGAATTTTCTACTACAGAGAATAACACATGATCTAAAATTGGAAAACATTACTTCCATACATGTAATATAAGGTGAAAAGGATATTAATGGTACAAACCTGGGGTTCAAAGGATTGATCATCCTGATGGGAATCTGTCACTTCGTCTGAAAAGAAGAGAAAGATTTCTGAATTATACTGTAAAAAATAAAAACTGACTATTCAAAACACCCTTTAAAAATGAAAATTTATAACTTTTTTTGGAAAAGAAAAAGGTATGATTGAAGTAACTAACTGATTGGAAATAGAAATATGATATAATTAGAACTCAAACATGCACACTTTCACAATACCTCTCTTCATTCATACTCTATTTTAATGGTATTTAAAGCAAATTGCTATGTAATTGGCCATGGATGCGAGAGGTAATATGAAATAAGTGTGTAAGATATTAATGGCCTTTTTTTGCAGAAATTGTACAGTATGAAAAAATTAAAGTAGAACCTTAGCCATGCAGACTTGGTCTTATTTTTTATTTTTAATTCCAAGATCCATAGGAAGAAGGGGAAGGAAAGAAATGATGCACCCTTCAAAACATGTGAATCAAGGAATGGCCAGCTGTAGTGCATACATCTGTCAGCTAAGAGGTCTCAGGTTTGATTCCTGTAGCAGGGCTTGAAATAGCGGCCTGCCAATGGCCAGATTTCAAGTTTTGCAGGTGAAAATAACAATGCACTGCCAAATGAACRATAAAATGGCATGCAAAATTTACTGGAATGACCTCCTTTTAGCATGCTCCTTTACTATGGCAGGCTGCACTTTTTTTCTATTTCGATCCCTGTGTAGCAGTTGGTATCATCTATGAGTAGAGTTTATGAGGTCTCCCCCTCAATAAATTTTTTTTTTTTGTAAAAAAAAAAAAAAAAAAAAAAAAGAAGGTTCATCAACTTTGGCTTTGTGATAAAAAAGCTTGTGAATTGTATTTTTATGCAAATACATTTAATTATGGTCAACCATTTAGGAATTAATTGCTTTTTAAAAACCAACCTGTCCGGGTAAGATAATTTACATCTGACCCCACCATGTCTTTGAGCTCACTGAACGTCCCTTCAGACAAACATAGAGATACATCGGACCCATTTGAATCCTGGGACATTTTGACCTACAAGAAATACGAGTTTTGACTTCAATAAAACATTATTACGTAGATGTATTTATTGAGTTAACCAGGCACTTGATTACGAACAAGTGCAGAACTATAGGAACGTGCGTATCCCCGATAACACTTAACATATTCTATGCATAACAATTAGGGGATTCCCCACCACGAGGTTTTGAAATTTTACCAAATTCTACAAATACCTTCAGAATAACAAAGAAATATTAAATAAAATCAATAAATTAGTAAGTTATACCGTGAAACAATTAGTCATAGTTTATTAACGATGAATAAGATATAAGATTGTTGATAGACGAGAGCTTGAACGAAAGATCTGTCTCTGTCGGACTCGCTTGATCAGACAAGGACTTCAATCAAAATAATGCAAACAAAATGCCGATTATTTCCTCCATTATGCAATAACTGATGCTTAAATTAACTAAAAAAAACTTCGACCATAGTTTCTATAAGTATTTCAAATCTTAAGAGTGCTGAGAACCATCGATTGTAAGAGCGAAACTCTTTTGATCTTCAAGACCCACGCCGATCAACGTCGTTTTGACGTTTCTAAAGAAAGCGTCCGAAATAAATTCAATATTCTGAAAATTCCAAGATAAATGACGACAAAAAAATAAGCCAATGTTAGCTAGTTACCTGGAGTAGAAGAAAACACTAAGGATCTGATGGACAAAGGGAGAATTACGAAGAAAACTCGAATCAAATACCCATCCTTCAACTAGACTGTCACTATTCCACGTGTGTCGTGTGTGTGTTGAAGGCAAAAATATTATGATTGAATACTGAGCCTGCATGAATGTTGATCAGCGGAGGAAAACGAAAGCGCGGGCTTTTTCGCCAATCAGAAGCCTGGCCTTCAATTTTACTTTTTTCGGGATAATTCCGGGATTTTTTCGGGATAATTTGAAAGTCAGTGGATGTTTAAAGCTTAATTGTTGTTGTTGCTGGTTTTTTTTTTGGTTTTTTTTTTTYCACTTTATTTTTATTTAGCTCACCTTTTTATCCACAAGTGTGTCGTTGAACTCGTTCACAAACCCAAAAAATATGAGACTGGTGATTGGGACTTAAACAAAACATAGGTTAGGACTACGGGATTTGGCCCAAAAATTTGGGCTGCAAAATGGATTCCCCCCCGCATCTTCCAGGACCCAAGAAGAAGGCCTCCTGCGGTTGCAAGGGTTAAACTTGGTTAAACCATAGTTAATATTAACTATGGCTAAACTACTTTTGAGAAGGGAGGGCGACCGGGGAGGAGTAAGGTGGAACGCCCGCCCGCTAATTGATAGAGATCTTCATCTAATCTCACACTCACAAAACTAAATAGTACTATAGCTATAAGGGAGTGCATGACTAAGCCTCTTATCATACCCTGAATTTGTGYAAGTATCACAATTAAGCTCCATTTCCTCTATAATTTATGTTTCTTTGATCGATCATTTCATTTCAGTTTATTAATTGTAGGAGGGCCATAATGGAAACTATGTCATGTATGTCACCCTCGTTAAATAAAGTCAATTTATATATTCATTTCTTTTATCTATAAGTGGTCGTAAGAGACATGACAATCTTAACGCACCAACGAAAGGCTCACAATTAGCCAATAATTTTTTTATTTTCAAAAATTGGCCGAAATATTTTTTTCTCCGTACATTTAGCAAATATTGACATGAATAGTATGTATAGTTAACCACTTTCACCTGAGGATGATGGTACTTTAATGTCGGACTAAACTTAACGAAATATGATCAGCAAATATGACTGAGGGCACCATGTCATCGATATAGACCTCTTGCACGAGAGGGATTGTTCTGGTGGACAAAACAATGTTTTTTGTTCGCTTGTTTGTTTGTTTGTTTTTTCTTTTTCTTTTCATAAGAAAAGACGGCCTATTGTTTTGTCCCCCAAAACCATTCCTTTAGGAAATCAACGTAAGCTAGGGGTCTATTGCAAAAAAGGCTTACTAGAGGACATGAAAGTGTATGAAAATAACTGGGGGGACTAAAAAAACCACATCTTTTTATATAGCGAAATTGAGAGCTATGAAGTAAATTAAAATACACGGATCTATCTTAAAAAGGCCGGGAAATGTAGCTGATTTAAATAGTTAATTTTAAGTTACAGCAGTTACGGATCTACGAGAGATTAAGAATACAAGCGAGAATGCCTTTATCTGTATTTAACAGATACACCTACTTGCAAGAACGTTGACATACGAAAATAGAACATTAGTAATTTAGTGAGAAAGGAATACATTATAAGACAAAAGAAAAAGTTCAGCTTCAGTGATCTTCTTTTGTTTTTTAATATAATTCCTATCTCACTAAATCACTAATGTTCTATTTTCGTATGTCAATGTTCTTGCAAGTTGGTGTATCACGAATTTTTAATTTATTATTTTATTTATTTTTTCTTCCAAGGAAGCTGGAAATATGAAGAACAATATATAACTTATTCAGTGACTATTAATCATTGATAACTGTTGATTAAAATATTCAGTAGATGTTAACCTGAGTACTTCGAGTCACCAGGTAGTCCAGCAGTCTGCAGGTTGCATGGAACATTTATGTTAAATTCCATGTGCGGTTTTCCGCAGTAAAAGGGATCCAACCTGTTCGACCTAACCAACCAATCACAACGCCTCCTAAGTACCTGTAAAAATAATATAATATGATAATTATATCAACAAGTGATTAAATGACAAGAGAAAACATTTTGCCAAGTCCATGAGCTTACATTTTGAAAGCATTATTCTATGAATGACAAACGATTGGGTTTTGTTTCGTTTAAGGTAAGTGTTCGTTAAAATTGTTATATGTTGTTTAGACAGAGTATTATGACTGCATGCAGGGACTATCAGATACTAAAAGCGAGTAGCCTTATGCTATATATAGGGATCTGAACAGAGTGGAGAAATTAGATGGTATTAAGACTGCTGACAGTAATAATATTTCCCGATGCTAGACAAAATGTTATAAACTTAATTTAATAATAAAATTTCGTGCATCTAAAACTGGTTATACCTTATCGCTATATATTTACAAAATAATGTGTTGTGTAACATCCGATTGTTTTTTGTATAGGAACTTATTTGCCGGGAATAAAAACGCAAGCTGCCTTCAAGAGATAAAACTTAATGAATTCAATGGATTCACATACTGTATTTAAACAATCATTCGAATCATTCGAAGATTACATTAGTTCAGAAGAGATCGAACCGAACCCAGAGGAATGCACATCTTTACTAAACAACGCTGCTAAACAAAGCAATGAAGAAAAATTCACCTTTATTGAACTTCAAGTCTTGCCAAAAGATGACAAAGAGATTTCACCGGGAGAAGTACCACGTGATAGGCTAGAAAAATATGACAGTGATATAGAATGTAGAATCTGCCGTTGCAAAGGCGATGAACCTTTGATTAGCCCTTGTAAATGCTCAGGTTCTTCGAAATGGATTCATCAAAGCTGTCTTATCCAGTGGTTCCAGATATCTAGGACTTCGAGGTGTGAACTATGTTCAGAGACAGTTATTATTAGGAAATACACGAAGCCGATATGTGAGGTAAGTTGGCTACCATTTGCTAGTAGTTAAATTATACTTTGAAAACGTGAAGGTGTGTTGATAAAGATGATTGGGAGTGATATATGTGGAATAAGAAAGATTTGGCCGTGTTTGTTTCATTCTGTTAAGTAGTTCTATGAGATACTTCTATTACAGGTGCTATATATATAACACCAATTACAAATGACAGAATTTTAATTAATTTAAGGCTCATAAATATGAAGGATGAAATGCAAAGAAATTTCACGATATTCCTATTACTCATCGAATGCTCCCATATTTCGAGTTCGCATTTATTCCAGCCTTTAGCCTCGATAGTGTACAAACGTCTCCCAAGGTCCATTGTATAGACGTATGAAACATGAAAAAATTAATATCCACGGATTTTCGTCGAAAGCTTTGTAATAGCCGAGAATAAGGCTGATCAAAAGAGAACTCAAAAACTGGAGTACACCGTATAAGTGGATTCTCAAACAACTTAAAAAGGTGCTTCTTGTTTGCAAAAAGAGCCGCTTCGCAAATTATTCGCCGAAGGCGAAGTGATAATCATCAGTTGGGATATTCATCATAATGGCACTGAACCTGAGGGGAATAAGTGTTTCAGTCTAATTTTAGACTTGAATATCAGAGAAAAGTCGAAATTCAGGATTAAAAAATAATATTTTAGCATTACTGCTGATCTGGAAAATTCTGAAAATAGGCCTCTAAATATAGATCGTTTTCCTGCACGTGACGTTATATAACAAACAAAACAAAACAAAAATTTAATTCATTTGCCTATGAATGTTATAATCTTGATTCTTCAATATGTCTGAGAGAACTATCAGTGATGTTACTAGTGTAAATAATTCTACTTATTACTTCTCTAAAAAGTCATTGAATTTAATGAGCATTTTTTAGTTTGCTAAATCATACATTTTTAGTTTAATTCGTACATGTTTTAAAATTCGATTGATTTAGATAAATTGCATGAAATAATTTTCTGAAATTTTGGCCGTCATCTTGCAACATTAGTTTTTAATTTGCCACACATTTACACGTTGTACACAAAAATCTAGAGTTTGCAGTCGTATTATTAATATTTGTACATGATCAAAAGGATTGTTTTTTGATTGGTATCGAAAATAGTCTAGCACCTAAGCAAATGATCATGAAACGTGACCAGTGAAAAGAAATATTTTCAGCATGAAGGCCATGTTGCTGTGGTACGTGCCGTGGGCAGTGAATCTGAAATAGCTTCCTTGATAACACAGCGTTTGAACTTCGAATTCAAGTTTAACTTTGATAAACTCAATGCATTGCGCGCTTAATTCTATATTATGACCTGGTATATACTTTAGAAATCCTTAAAGTGTGTATGTGACACGAAAACATTTCGTCATTTAAAATGTATAGTTTGTTAGTAATAATGAATATATCGTACTGAAATTTGTTTCGAAAGCTTATTTCTTGAGATATGTGAGAAAATTAAGCCCAATTTGTGACATCATTTTGTTGACACGTACTCTAGATTCGGTAGTAATGCACTAAATACAAACTCGTGAATTCGTATAAAATAATACAACAAAAGGCATATTCTAGAGCTTCATTTGATAGCTCACGTAGTACTCTTCAAATGTCGGGAAACTGAAAAGTGTACTACATGAAATTAAGATTCTATATTCAAACATATATTCTGTGTATCTAAATCTAGAAACTTGTTAACAAAATGACATCACAACTTGTTCTAAATTTTCTTGAATTTCTAGAGAAATACGTTTTTGACACAAATTATTTCGTGTCATATGCACTTTAATTAACTCAAACAAACTTACATAGGCGTGATTGGTATCCAAAACAAATTACATAAACAAAAACCAAGACAAAAGATAAAGCATGCTTTTTATTTTACTTTTAGTGGAAACGTCCCAAGGGAGGTTTTGGTCCCTGCAATAAAGTGGATCTCTGGTATCTGTTCGTGACATTGTTCAGCCTCGGGACTATCGTAGGTTTTGCAATCTTCCAAGGCCTGATGGGAGCAGAGGAAAGTACCGAGACAATATTAGTCTTCGTAGCTATTTACATCCTGTGTGCTATCATGATCCTGGTAAGAATTTGGTATTTTTATGTTTGGTTTACTCGGAAGAGTACGTACTGGAATGCATGGAGAAGTTTGAACCAGAATTGGATCATTAAATCGGCCACTTCGACATCCACTGCATTCGAAGAATGCGCCGTGGTGTAGTCCGAATGGTAGCACTCCACGCGCGTTCCACTAGTTAAACAATAGACTTTGACGATACGGTGCCGCCATCTTGAATCGCAAGATATTATAGGTTGTCCAGGGAGCAAAGCAAAACAAAGATGGCATTTCATTTGTCTGTCTTTCATTTATGGGTAAAGAAGGGTATCGATGTGCCGTGGATTTTTGTTGTCTTCATCAAGCCTCATATTACCTTCCGTATTAGGTCTATATTGAATCCCTGAGTTCAAGAAATCCAAAATGGCCGCTGTGTCGTCGAAGTAGTTAAGTGAGTCTATTCGTAATTCTGACGTATCTAGGTTACCGTTGCAAACCTCAAAAAGAGGTTAGCCAGAAGTAATTGTAATTAACAGTGTATTAAGAGTCGAACGATCCATTTTACTGTGTAAATTCAATACAATATAGTTAATTGCCGAAAACACGATGTTTTTATTGGACCTCTGTTTAGCGGCCAATCTCTATTAAGCAGCCACATTTTCTGGTCCCGAGGGTGACCGCTTAATAGACATTCAAAATGTTCAAGGGTCATTAGATGATTTATATACTCATATAAAGGGTCTTTTAACTTTCTGGGTTCTATCATTTTAAATAGCATCTATTATTCCTGGAATGCAACCACGYGATTTAAATTCACGTCAGTTATAAACAAACAAGCAAAAAACAAAACAAAGGAAAACAAAACAAAACAAAACAAAAAAAACAACCGCCATATTGGTTCATCTAACTAGAGAAGCTAAAGGCCGGTTTAGAAGGTACGGTTTTCGCCTACAACTATCGTATACAACTCCTACAACTCGAGTCTTAGCTTGTAAATCGAGCCTAAAACTCGCCTACGACAGACGCGTGCAACACGGAAAAAGTTGTAGGATTTTGAAACATGTTTTAAAAAGCTACGACAATCGTAGGTGTCATGACGCGAGCGTGTTGTATACGATACCGTCTAAATCGGCCTTAATAAGGAATGCTTTGTTATCGTGAACCAATGTGAAGGCCATCACGTAACATTCAACCCAAGAATAATGAAATTGAAAATTGAAAATTGGGAATAAAAAATTGTGTATGCATTTTCGTTTATAATGAACCAACTTGCTTTGCAAGAACACAACAAGTTATCAATTAGCTATTTGGCATCGCAGTGCATATTTAATGGCCGTTTTAGGGAACGTATTTCCAAGATGGCGTCAATTCTTCCCCTAAAACAGTCCAAACTTGCACTGTAGTGCCAACACGACCTAGTTTTTTTTCTCAACCTAGCTCGGAATGTTAATAGATCGATGYGTAAAGAAGGGTGGCACAATAGAACTGCGAAATGCCTCACAAAGACAAGGGTCAGAAACCTGTACTGGCGAATGTAAAACTGTAAATCTAATTTAGGTCTCAGGCTGATTGAGCAACGACTGAATATAGCCTTATGTATATCTTTTATTTATATGAGAGACGTGCTGTTTTTCTGTTTGTCAACTTCATACTGAAATTCGTACATGATTTAAAACATTTATATAGGTATCAGTCGAACATAGGTCTCTATACAAATAGACCGGGAAATAGAGCATGGATGTAAAAGTAGTGTACAAAAATAACATAACAGAAATAGAAGTAATTAATTTAACATTGCATGTCCTTAAAAATGTTTCAGTTAATAAATTGTGGAAGTGTGAAAGTATTCAACAATTACACCTTGTTTGTTCTCTCCCATTTCCCCTCATTTCCCATTCTTCATTGGGGAAAAAATAGGAAGAATTTGCCTAATGAAGTCATATTAAAAATGCTGAGTAAGGGACAGGTCATGGTTTATCGCCTTTGAAATACAATAGACAATACGTACAGACAGGAGTAAAAGCAAAATTGTATTTATTTATTYTGTCTCCAAAAAACTATTTCTACATTTAAATAAAGTAACAATAATTAAGATCTAGACAGCAGAAAAAACATAATATCAAATAATAAATAAATGGTAATGAATTTATTTTGATTACAAGCAGAAGTGTTTACAATAAGCAGCTAGCTTGTGCAGCTTTAATTCCTCAAAGTTTACCATATAATAAGCTGTTAGGGTTGAATATCCGAATGCCTTTTCTACCTATTATAGCGCCAGTTGGTAACATTAGCATTGAGATGTTAATTTGCCAACCATCTTGTCAAGTTACTTTTGTGTCATGAAACGAATCGATTTCTGGTTGAAATCAGTCGTCATGACAATAGCGTACGTCACAGCAACTAGCGCTTTTTAATTTGTTTACGTTTATCGCGAACCATAAAAGAAACCCTTTGCTGCTGATCTAGATCAAAGCACGACTAACTAAGCGCATGTGCCCCCTTTTGGCCATTTGGCTATAGTTAACTTGGCTAGTTTAAATCTAGAAATTAAACCCTTATTGTATTACGTTAATACTATTTTATCGTCTGGGGACGAATCACGCGATAAGGCTCTTCCATGCTGGATGGCAGATGTACACGCCGCCCTCCCCGCCCCACAGAAGAAAAAAAATGCCGGTATATGCACGAGATTAAAAAAATATTTGTTATATTTTTACAACAAATGTATATATGCACGTGATTTAAAGAAAATGTTTATCAAATATGTCGGTCACTGATAGAAAGAATGATAGAAAGTGATTGGTCACGTGATTCGCTAGTGAAATAGGATCTGTATAGAAAAATGTTTTGAAAAAAATGTACAAAAAAGTAATGAATGGGATCCCTGCGGACGTGAGAACATGCATGGAGCAAACCTGTCACGTGTTTCCATCAGGCTTGCGAATGTTCATGTGGAAAGCAAATGGGACCTTTTTTTGAAGTGAATGTTCTGAAAAAACAACATGGTGAATGGATTAATGAAAACAAAAATAAAAAATGAAATAAACTAATTGGGAAAATAGGGAAAACAAAGAAATGTAAATGGTATAAAAATGTACCATTACAAACAAATCAGTTAAAAGTGATTATCTGAATTCTACTAACTCACTAGCAAACGACCAACATTACTAAAATATAAAATAATATGATAAGTAATTTATCATTTAGAAAATATCGATGATATGATTATCATTTAGGAAATAAACATAAAGTTCAAAATTCAAAAAGAAATTAGAAACTGGAAATCAAATCAACACAAATGTAAATGTCAAATAATGGTTTGAAGCAAGAAAGAAATGAAAAATGAATTACGTAACGAAGAATATAAAATGGAAAGAACCAAATTTGGAAAATGAATGTAAATGTTATGATAAGACAAGCGAAGCATATTTCGGATTCATGTTTCTTGAATATGAATGTGAACAAGGATTGGCTAAGATTTATCTTAGACAACATTACACCAGGTGTGGGAGGGTTTGACCGTCTGCACTGCAACATCGGTCGTCTGAAAGTAAACACACACATACATAAGCTGCCTTGAGTATTCAGGGTGTCATAAAAGAGAAAGTATAGCACACAACAGCACACTAATCTTGCTATAACAGTATGGTTGTCTTGGTTGTTGTCCATTTTGATGTAGTTTTGATACAGCTCACGTCTGCTCAGCCGTGTTTCCGGGTCGTTCACACATTTTAACGTTTAATGATAGCGCTGTTTTTGAAGCAGTTGAAGGGCACGTTTGTAATGAATGTTGAGAAGGTCTTGGAGCTGAATGGGGATTAGGTTTAGAAGCTTAAAGTTTGATTATATGTTAGCGGTTAGTGCTGAGACAATTGCAAGACTGAAACTGCACATTCTATAGACCCCTTTGGACTATGAAGCTCAATGTTGATGGGGGCAAAACAATAGGTTCCAATTCTCAGGTGATTGGATTGGAATTCGTTTGTTTTGTCCACCAGGCCGAGCTGCGTTGACGTCACATGCATGGAGTCCATGGACTAACAGCAACACTGTACTTGCTGCTCTAATAAATGAATGGCTTTAAGTCAAAAAAGTGAACTTTTTCTGTCGGAAATGGAATTTTGTTTGGTGTTGCAAGACACATGAATGAGGCACCAAGGTAAAAAGCGATAGCCAATTTAAGCTAAACACAATGAATTTGAAGCTAAACAACCTAAAACCCTAATCCAAGGTACAGTAAAGCTTGAGCTACACCAAGAACGATTCGGGAAATGACATTTGCAACAAATACGTACACAACATTACTGCCGTGAAGACCCTCTAGCTTTCCTAGTTTGCACAATTCCGCCCTCGCTAGCTGGCTATTTAGGGTCACCTATTGCATTCCTACAAAATGCCTTTGCACATTTGAAGCAGTTAAACCAACTTCAAACTCATTGTTTGAATTTATAAAAGCAATATATGTGGAATAATTCATGACCCGCTGATTAACTTATGGAGTTGTTTGTTCATGAGCAGTCCTGGCCCCTAGTCGTATTAATATTACGTTATCAAACTGTGGTTAATATAAAAAAAATATCTGAATTCCCTTAGTCAGCTGCATTGTCGTATTTAATCATTAAGTTACTCGTTGAATGGTTATACTTTTACACATTATATTATATTCGTCTCTCCTTTTAAAAACAGCACTGCTATAGTATTAGGCTGCGTTCATAATAGGGGGGAGGGGGGGGTGCAGTGAAGATTCGAAATGTCCAGAATAATTCTCAACACCGCCCCTTAAAGTCATGCAAAAAATACGATCCCCCCTAATCAAGGCTTGTAGCTTCTTCCAAAAATTGTGCATCCCCCATTTTTCTGATAAAAATTTGCCGATCCCCCCTTTTTCCTACCAAAATTTTCGCGATCCCCCCTCAATTTCACCTGCCCCTCCCCCTGCCATACATTATGAACGCAGCCTTAATACCTACGTCATAAATTCCTAGATCCTTCTATCATTTAGTATCAAGCTATATAAAGTTTTTTATGTAAAAAGTTCACTAAAAATGTTTCCCTAAACTGAATAACTAAAAGACTGGCCATTCAAAATCACCTACTTTTTCCAGAGGAGATTCCGATAAAGATGAAGAACCTTGAGACAACTCCTTTCTGCGCATGAGCACTAGGGCTTGGTATGCTAATTTCTTGATATCAGCACGTGTAAATCCACGTGGGTATTCACATTCTTCCAGCCACGTGTCTGCCTTTCGCGCCAAAAGAAACCATTCATCTTGGTAATCGCGGTGGTTACGGCAAAGCCATGCCAGTCCTAAGGCAGTTGCCCAAAGCTGTGTTCTGTTGGGAAATAAAGGAAAAAAAAAAATGAAAAGTGGTTGATGAAAAAGTAAATAAGTTGCCGTTTATTTGCTTTTTGTCATTTTTGTTTTGTCGCACATTATTTGTATCTGTTGTACCTTTGTTAAAGGATATTCTATATCAATGGGCAGTGAGCGCATGATCATATGGATGATCAGTGCCGGGTTGGTAAGTTAGGATGCATGAGTCCTAAGCTTTCAGACGATTGGAGTGTACAAGAAAATACGATTTGAATATAGCATGGTGTGCCATGAAAAAGCATTTACATCTTTGGAACTAAACCTAGTCTGAAATCCATATGATGATAAGAAACAGTGGAATACCGTCGAATATACGTCGACTTCCCTGCCTTTTTATAATTATTGACTGTATTTTCAATGTTATTGGATAAATATGTTCTAAGTTGTAATGACTTCAATAGCCGCCAGATGTGATTTAAATAACATCCCCCATACTGAGTGCAGATGAATATATTGTAATGTTTCAATATACTTCCATACCCATAATCGCATTTATAGCCCTTCATCAGCTCTTCCAAGTCTTTTGATACGCATACAGTATTATCGGCCAGCGGTGATGCCTGTTGTATGCTGAATAAAGGCAACCCAACGCATTCAGCGAATCTTTCGTCTTGTTCCCAATATCCATTCCTAAACTGCAATTTTGCCAGATCAACAAAAGGTTGATAGTCTTTCAAAGGTTTTGTCAGGACAGGCGACAACCGACCTGACAGGGCAGATGACTTGTGATTAACGCTGGTTGTTGTTTGCTTCTCTCCAACCACGTATCGGGTCGACAATGGCGGGAACTGACGCCCAGCTGAAGTTAAAGCAAAAGCAGAAAAATCATTTATATTTAGTATCTCATTCCACAGGGTGTAAAATCCCCMAAGCAGAGTTACCTGCGAGGAAGGGTAACAGAGATGTGCGTAATTCGAAAACATACTTTAGTTTTATTCAAGTTCTTCACAGCACAGAAACACTGGACTTGTGACAATGAGAAACCATTCCAATGTTACCGCACGACGTACTGTGTACGGATGTAAATCATTACCGCATGTTTTCTATTTTGTTGAGAATAATGCCATAAAATAATTACTTGGTCCGACGCTACCCCGTACGGAGGCCGAGTGCCTGTACTTCAGTTTTCCAAGCAATGGACCAAATCCACTTGAGCGTATATAATGTATTTCCAATTTCAAACCACGTGTCTTAAGTCTCTTAAGAATAAAATTCTTTGTTTGAGTCGTATCCATATTCATGTGTCTTCTCGTGTGCAACCGTTAAACAAAGAAGTAATACTCAAGGGGATGTCATTTTGTTTCAAATGGGAAAGAAATGGATTAGGCCGATTTGGGAAGTAACGTTGTCGTAGTGATCAGTTAATCTGATTGGCTGACATGATATCAACTTAGCAGATGCATATAGTACCTACCGTGATACGATCTAGACAGTGCGGTGGTCCTAGTAACATTGCTATCGCAGCTATCAATGGTCCCCGAGCGATCCAGTCGGTAAAGATCCGCCGGTTCCTCTCCATTGCCCATTGTTATCTCGGTGCTTTCTGATTCTATTGACTCCTGGTCGCTTCCTTCTGGACTTGGTAAGCGCCTACCGAGACCAGTTGTAAACCCACACTTGCGCTCCAACATGAGAACATTCCTCTTCCTGGAATAATTATAAGTAACATACCGTGGTTGGAATATTTTATAAGCTATTTCAGTTAATGTTGCTAGAACGCAAAGTGAACAGCTAGTAGACCACTTTACCTTGAGCGTAATGATTTTGTATTTCAAACCATGGATTATCTCCTAGAGTATAATTTCTTTAGTAGCCAGTAGATCTCTTTACCTTAACGCAATGTTTTTGTATTTCAAACCATGTAATATTTCCTAGAGTATTTTTTGTCTAACGGTTACGCATGGGTAGAACAAACTCCAATAAAAATGAAATAAAAAAAAAGAATCTATTCTCATGGAATTGCCACATGGTTTAAAATGAGAAAACACCGAACCAAAGGTAAAAAGTTCTAATAAAAGATGTGAATAAAGAAGAATTGGGATATGGTTCTTATAATGATTGTCGTTGCTTATTATTTAATTATCATTATTATTTAATTCAAAGGAACATTGTATCGGTAGTCTGTAGAAATATGAGACGAGTAGTTTTAGAAACGTGATAAGAAACTCACAAATCTAAATGTTGCAAGGCAATAGTTTTGTTTTATATTAAAAATTTGATCAACCTCAATCGATTTCGGAGTCACCTCTGACGAGTTTAAACATATTTCATACCTTGCCTTCATCCAAGAAAGAATTTCGTGAGTACTTGCAGGCAAAAAGAGAAAGGTATATAACCCAGATTTCTAACTGATCCTTCCTCAACCATTGTAACCAGCAGGCATGCAGTGGGGAAAATATGATATGATCCTATATGATATATACTTTTACAAAACATTTTTTACGCCGACTTCACTTACCCAAGGTTTGGACTGGTTTCTTTGTTAGGGAATTGAAGTGCACTCAAAATCTCATCTTCAAAACAATACTGATCGACGGAAGCAAAGGCCGTGAGCCTGCTGTGTACTTTGGCCTGCTTAGTGATAGTAAGTATCTTGCGCATGCTCTCTGACGGGTTTTCCTCGGAAACTTGAAGTTCCCGGATGAGCGAACGCGCCAGTAGCTGGTGTATTGTTGGACGCTTTGATGATCCACCGCTCCGGTTGATTGGGAATGGGATGACCTGTTAAGGAAGACGCAAAAGAGTTTACTGTTACAATACATCATATAAACGGTGACATTATTACATGGAACGAATCGATAATTTCAAAATCAGTTTTTTTATTCCGCTGAAGTGGAATGTGAAATCGTATTTTGCGGCATCTAGATATCTTGCCTACAAACAAAGTGCTTTCCAGTAAATTTATAGTGCTGTCTTGTAGGCTGGTGTGTCATAGTATATTGATGATTCTTCGACCATTTGATAATTATTGCTTTCTAGTATACCATATGAAGTCGCGATTACGAAGGCTTGAAAATTAAGCTCTTAGCTTGAATTTTTAAGTAGTGTACTTTTCCCCAGAGTTACAGGTGAACAAGATTCCTCCCTCCGCAAAAGCTACTCCTTCTATTGTGAAATTCAACCAAGGGACGAGAGTTGCAGGTTCATTACGCCCCACTGGCTATTAATGCGACCCAATCGCTACCCAGGCGTAAAGGATTATGTATATTTTTTTTATTTATCAGAAGATATGCTATTATCCTTTGGGTCATTGAAACTTGGTCTGAAGTTTGAAAACATTATGTCAAGTGGCTTAGATGCAGTATTGGCAATACGTTAGATGTAGAATGCAGTTTAGATGCAAGTTTTTCTTATTACCTGTTCGACTTCTTCATCTCCAACCCACCCCTTGATGCTAACAGCCCCAAAATTCTTGGGAAGACCAAGTGTTCCGAGCATGTCACTATCTTTGACAACTGTATAGGATTTTAGATCAGAGCGTTCAAGGTCTTCATGAAATAGTGTTGTGCCTTCAGTCGGTGGCCGTATTCCGGACTTCTCTTCTTCCGAACAGAGGTCATTGCTGCTTTGATCCTCTTCAAATGGTTTATCGCTATCATCCATTGAGAAACCAACACCGCTATCTCTTTCATGATACCGCGATGTCTCCTGGCTAGCCGTCTCCTTGTTGTCGCATGCGCACGCATTTCCATCTTCATTTTCATGGCTTCTATTCAATTTTTTGGTTTCAGACTTTTTTTGCTCAACGCTCATGTCCCCTTTACCATGTCCTTCCTTCTCCAGAGCATATTGATGCCTCTTGCTCTGAGCATCAGTTTGATGAGTACCATCGTTTGTTTCTTCTTTCTGTTGACTTCCATTGTCAGGGTCTTTAGCTTGGTTACTCACAGATTCCGATGATTTATTGATATCTTTAAAAAAGTCCCCAAACACAATATTGTGGACGACATCATTCTTATCAATCATGGATGATGAGGAAGATCTATGACGTCCATGACTATCACGTGTGGACCTCGTGCCTTGTACATCAACTGGTGAGTCTCTGTCTTCAGTAGTAATTGAGGAGTGATCACGTGGAGGACTCGTGCTTCGTGCACGCTTTGTTAGACAGTCAATGCTTTTCCGATTCTGTTGTATCTCGTTATTATTTATTGTACGCCGAGTATTGACTCCGAGGGGGTCAACAAAGTTCTCAAATCCAAACTCTTGCTCGTTTTGGAAAAAGTTATCGTCATCATCATCAGCTTGTCTTTCTGGTTCCTCAATCTCCAACAAAAGCTGTTCCTCTGGTAAGTACTCCATATCATCATCAAACCAGAACACCTTAACGGAATTATTAGAGAAAGAACGCATCGTACGATCCATACGACGTCTTTGAGGCGTTCTTGGAGATTCTTTCTCTTCGCTTGGAGGGCGTGACAATAATCCGTACAATACTAAGCGCTCGCCATCAAACACGAACGGGAGTTGGGATGGAGACTGTATGACATCATATCCTTCTGGGAGGTGCCAGCTGATCTCAATATCTGTGATCGCGGGCTTGAGTGACTCTTTTAGTGCTTCCATTACCTGAATACATAAAARGAAGCAATAATAAGGATTATTAAAGCAAAAGATATCTAATAATGCATAAAAAGACACTTCAAAGAAAAAAGAAAGAATAAAATAGAAAAAGAAAATTCAACTTACTCACAGATTGAACCCTAAAACAACCTCTGGGCTGATCTAAGTCAGGGCATGACTAACTCACATATTGAACCCTAAAACAACATCTGGGCTGATCTAAGTCAGGGCACAACTAACTCACATATTGAACCATGAAACAACCTTTGGGCTAATCAAAGTCAGGGCACGACTAACTCACAGATCGAACCCTGAACAACCTCTGGGCTGTATTCAGGGCACGGCTAAATCAGAGATCGAATTGACAGAGACTTTCCGCATAGTTACAAAACAGACGTATTACATTATTTTGATAATAATAACGTTTGATCAGGATAAGTAGATTAGTTGTCCAATACCTTTGGAGGAATCCTCTCGTCCTCTGCCAGGAACCAAGACTTGCCAGAACCCGATCCTGCAATACTCTGTACCAAATAAGGACAAGCTTCAGGTCCTATCCCGAACGTGTAGAACCTATAAAGGAACAATATAAACCCTTCATCAGTTAAAATGTGCAAAACGAATTTGTATTCCTTGGCGTAACTCCTTACTTTAGACGTGTACAGGTGTGTTCTGGTTAGTCTGGCCGAAGGGGTTTGGTTACAAGTTACTGATTACCAGAAGAGGGGAATGGAACGATTTAAAAAAAAAAAACGTCCTTCTTTCACGAGGATAGCAATTAATAGCCAGTAGCTAACAAACCTGTGGCCCTCGTTCCGTGATCGAATTTGAATTTAGGAGTTGCTTTTTGCGGAGGGAGGAAAGCCGGAGAACCCGGAAAACCCTCGAAGCACAGGAGAGAACCAACAAACAACTCTGCTCATATACGACTCCGTAACCGGCGGGACTCGAGCACGGGTCGCATTGATGAGAGGCGAGCGCTCACACCGCTACGCCACCCGCGCTTCCCAAAGATGAGTTCAACTGGAACGAGCCAACAAATAAAGAACTTGATCATATTTGGCTTCCTCAACAACAAATATCTAAACTATATGTAGCAACATAAGTAAATCCACGGGTTGCTAGAGAAAAGTATACTTTTTTTCTTATTTTTCTTTTTCCTTTTCTTTTTTACTCAAGCATTTCAAGTAGTCGTCTGCCATGGTTATTGGTCACTATAATCTACGAGTCGTAGCATAAATTACAGTAAAAGGTTTTTCTAATTGTTTTTCTAATCTAATATATACTGATACAAATTGAGATCGATCGTTTAATTTTATTCATAAAGGCCCTTTATTCATTTATTTCTCTCGTTATTTAATTCTTTCGTTCTTCATACCCCGTTTTCTTTTTTCTTTGGAATTAGTTATTTTGTCAAATAATTCAATTGTTTTTTTAGCAGGGTATAAAATAAGGTGTTAATGAAGGACTCAATTGATTATTCGGCCGACTTCCGTCCTTTCGATCCTTTCTCTCTCTTAAGAACGTAGACTATACAACTGTGCATCTGCGGAGGGAGATAAACCTGAATAATTATCTATAACTCTCTTTTCTTTCTCTCCTCTCCTCTCCTCTCCTCTCCTCTCCTCTCCTCTCCTCCCCTCTTTTATCTTATCTTTTCTTCTCTTCCCTCAACTTTCATCTATTGAAATACTTAGCCTTTAAATAATGTACATGATAAAGGCGAAGAAATCATATAAAATGTATTGTTCAATAACAGCAAATGCATGGATGGATGGACGGACGGACGGACGGACGGACGGATGGACGGACGGACGGACGGACGGACGGACGGACGGACGGACGGACGGACGGGATGGACGGACGGACGGATGGATGGATGGATTGATAATGATCATTTTATTACGCCCTCTGTGAACAGATAAAATTGCACGTCTCCCAGATAACGTTATAAAACCATTGAAGAAACAATAATACATATATATTATATGATATAGAGTCAATACAATACTGACATCACATAATAATATAAAGCTGTATTTTGATGAGCCTGGCGGTATAGAGCAAATGACTTTCCGACTACATAAACTAATTATATTGTCTATGACAAAATGTTATTCTCTCGACAAATTAATTAATTACTGCATGTGATTTTATTTTTATTTTTAATATAGGAATATATTTTATTTGGTAGTAAAAGAAAATGTTCTTGCTCTACGTTTGTCAATTATCATCATTGTTATCCTGACATTTCCTTCTCGATTTGACAACTTTTTATCAACTATAGAAACAGGTCCTTTTTATTATAAAGTGACTTTACTCATAATTCTGAATTTTAGACCCAGAAATACTATATGACTTTATTTGTCCTTTAATTTATTTAATTCGTTTCAGACTTAATCCTTTTGAGCACGAAGTAAAATAGTAAAAAAAAAACTTTTTTCCACTTAAATTTTCTCAAGTTTTGAGACCAGTCCAGGGAGGACAAACCTGTATATATAAGCAACGACATACAGTAATGCTGTACTGACATAAAGAAACAGAAACACACTAATATCAATTTCCTTACAAACATAATCGATTGAATATTGAATGGAAATCCAGACATGAAGATGTGAATTTACAACTACGACACCTGCTGTTCAATCCTAAGTCTATTATTAACTGAGTCGATTTATGGATCGACTTGTTCCCTCGCTTTACTGCGTGTTTTAATTGATATATACCATTCAATATATGCTTGTTGAACTGCAAATAGTCTTGTAAACCTCCCTCCTGCCTTTGAATTATATTTCTACGCTAAAGAAAAGAGAAGGAGTCGAACATTTTGATAATGCGTTCAAATACCTTCCTAATCTGCTCAATGACTTTGAATATTCAATTCTCTCAAACGCGTGAAAATAAATCGATTTTTTTAGTTGTTAAAAAAAACATAATTCAAGGGTTATGAATTCCTCACAAAACAAATCTACTCTTAAAATGAATTTTCGCCCTTACCTTGTGTTAGTTGAGTTTTTTCTTACTAAATCAACAACGTCAAGCGTATTGGAAACTCCTCCATCCGTCAACATGAATATTACCCGTGGAACACCGTTCTTCCTTGGCTGATCAAAGATGAAATCTAGCGGGAGAATAAGATTCGTTCCTCCAAGATCTGCTCTCATCTTTTGAATATAGGATATAGCTTTTTCCAAAGTTTCGTCAGTGTATTGCTGACTCTCTTGGAATAAGCTCCGATAGTACGATCCAAAACCAATAACATTAAAATAAGAATTTGATGGTAAACTTTTCAGGAAYAAAATCAATGTTTCTTTGACCTGAAAAATGTGTTTGCCACTCATACTTCCACTTCTGTCAACCAGAAATAGGAATTCTGTCACCGTTTTGGAAAAAGATTTCAGTTGAGGTGTAAAGTTTATCATAACGGCTGGTTTCTGAGCGAAATTTTCAATCAAGTCTTCGCTGTCAGTCGTGTCACAAGTAAAGTTTTCTTTATCTCTAAGAATTCTTTTTCCTTCTTCTATAAGTACGTAAGGATCATAAGGATGGGATAGATGTAAGAGAACCTCTAGTTCCCTATCGTATGTGTGTGGTTCTGCTATCGTAATGTGAATACGAGACGCATTTGTTGCTCTTGAATCTGCATCGACTTGAATTGCATGTGTCTGCGACGAACAGCCAGCAAGAAGAGATGGAGCGACAACCTCAAGTTGAAGGTCAAAACTGTACGGTTCATGAGTCTTTCTTGGAATGTCACTGATCAGTATTTGAGAGCCGTAGCGGTCGTTGTGATTATCATCGTCTTCATCCTTGCTGCTTAATCTTGGTGTAAATACCGAAGGAAGGACGAAAAGAGATCCTCGAGTCTTAGGATCCGAGAGGAGTTYCGTAATCAAACTCACCTGTACAAACACTGAACATTGTGGAGGAATTCTACCGATGCTCAAGGAAAATAAATCATCTTCTCTTTCTTCGATAGGATAGGCGCTTTTTTCGTATTCCACAGAAGTTTTCTCTTTGATTTCTGTAAAAAGATGTCTTTCTTCCACTGTCGCTTCGAACTCCACAATCGTAGTTCTCTCGTCTTGAGGGAAAACGAATAACCCTTCGATGTCATACTCGCAGTCATTAAAGTATGTCAATGTTGCCAGGACTCGAGCGGCAAATCCATTTACCTCGGCAAAAATGCTAGATGCTTTTAAAGGTAAAGATTGAATACTATGGCGATTAACCAGTCCAGTCATCACGAAACCACAACCAAAATCATAGAAAATTCAAAATAATATGAATTTAAATCTCACTAAAGGAAAAAAAAAAGAAGAATATTCGTTCAAAGTCTTCAACCTCGATGTGTTTTTTAGTTCAAAACTATAGTATGGGATAAAGCGAATTATTAGAACTGCGGCTTTTCTCACGATGAAGCGATTTGTGTGGTATTTTACAGACTAAAATCAGAATTATTCGTCTTTTCGCCTTCTGGCATTTAAGCATTTGGGAAACAGCGTACGCATCCGTTTCAAGCCACCGTCCAATTACATGAGCTCTAAAAACAGTCAATTAACTCCTTAATTTATTCAAACACAGCAAACTGGAAAACATATATATATATATATATATATATATGTATATATTTATATCTTGATATACCGAGCTCCTTTAGTTTGGGCTCAGTCACGTGACGCAACGCTAAACCAATCAAGAATTGGCAAAATTGAGCATATGGTTTTGAAGAAAAGCGAAAAATCTCACCTGGAAGCTCCTGACTCAAATGATGCTTTTGTTAAATCTTTGTTATCGCGAATGAAACGGTAGGGTTGCTAGCCGTTGAATTTCATGAATTTCTTGAGTTTATTACAAATATCCTACTGTTCTTTGAAACTGTGTCAAAAGGAGAAAGAAAGTATAATTCAGCAAAAACACCCATTGCATTTGAGATACATTATTTGGAAAATGATGTCAATATTTCCACATGGATTTCTGAAGATGTGATCTTGTTTGCCGAATAATTGCTCAAAGAACACATTACAATATGTTTATCAGTTTGTGGGAAGATAAGCTCACTCGTGGCCACAATTACAGCTGAGTGTTTAGAATTGGTCGTGAAAATAAAAATGCGTAATAATTTATTTGAAAGAGTGGTTTTGCCTAAGGAATGTCTCGCCTGACCGATGACTAGTTATATTTGTTACGTATAGATTTTTACTTTTGATTTGCCGTTCACACACACGTCGCTTACTCCAAACACACACTCCAAGACATAAACTGATCATGAGAAGATTTCGAGTGATTTCTGTTCTTAGACATTGCCAGTTACGATTTCAATATTTCTATATTTTCTTGAAACCTAGRTATTTTTTAAATATTCCTAAAGTCTACTATTTGAAATATTTATAATTTACCCGCATTCAGTTGTTGCCTAAATTTACTTTCAATGTCCTTACAAGAATATTATTTACAATTTTTAGCACCTTGTTTTATGATTTGATCGCCAGAAAAAAATCATATTTTTTTCTTTATTGTTACGTCTTTTCACTTTACTGGCTTTTCTTCCAAGAGAGCCACTCAGACTAGAGCCAATTCATTCAGGCTATTCTTATTAATTATTTTTTAACGAAAGTCTATTGTGTTAAAGGATGGAACGATAAAAGGACCCACAATAGGGTGCTAACGATCTTATCGATTATTTAAGAGATTTCCTCTTTTTTGACGTACTTTGAGAACTGTACAGAAGATATATTGTAAAACAGAAAACACTGAAAAAGAAGTAGAATCTGAGATAAAACGACAAACGCGTGGGCTCCTAATGAAGATTAGCCATGAATAAAGCCATCCTCTTATAACTATAACTTATATATGTAAAAACTTTCGACAACATGACAATGACTCAGATCTTTATATTTTTGACTGAACATGATGAACTTGAAGGCTCCATTTGTAGGGGGTCGGGTAGRGCTGGACGGTGAAGGGTAATGTTCTTTCTTATTTCTTATTCCTCTGGAAAATTATTCTAAGATATTTTCTATAACTGAATGGGTTACTATCGACCTTTCTATACCGCATTCCGCCTTTTGATATCTCTCGATATTGCCTAATTATTTTCTTCGTATCGTCAGTAACGTCATAACCCATATGCCTTCTTTATATTACCGTCCGAGCAAGAATTATCCCGAAATTATATACAGTCTGCTAATTAGTTTTCTCTTAAGAAAGGAGGGCATGACGTAAAATGCGTATAGGTGTATTGTTTGTTTTCCTACCTGTCTCCGATCCTTAAAATATTAACCACGTTGTGCTACTAAAAAAAAAAAAACCTAGAAAAACAGACCTAGAATGGCATCACTTAGCCTATAAACTCGTGAGTAATCTTACGGTTGTACAATATATTTTCATTGTTTCTCACAACTTCATTTGATTTTTATTCTTTATCCAGTAATTTTTGCTTGACACATTATTTTTTTTATTTTTGTAAAGGTGTTAAGAACATCATTAGTAGTAATTGCGCTATGTATTATTAATGATAATTGATAACTAATTATTAAATATTAACGATATATAATTAATGTTGTAAGACTTAAGATAAAAAAAAAAAAAAAAAAAAAAAAAAAAAAAAGACAAACGCAAACGAAACGAAACAAACAAACAAACAAAAAAGATCAAACAATGGACGACGAACAGCAAACAAAACCCGATCAAAAATTAAGTTTATCGATAACTGAACGAAACAATCTCTGGACTGATCTAAGGCCGGGCACGTCTAACTCACAAACGATGGTGATGTTTGATAAATTTAACAAAGTATTCTTCAGTTTTTCAGTTTCGTCTTAAGTCTTACATCATTAATTATCGTCTCTTTTGTTATATCTTCCAACATGGCCGCCGTGACTTTTGTTATTTCATTTTCTTGGCAATGATTGAAAACCACAAGCCTGAAACATTTTATCGGGTGGTCAAATTCAAGGTGGCACGTCTAACTTACAGATAACGAATTGGAGTTTAGCGTGTTGGTTTTGTGGTGGGAGAAAAACCAGAAAACTCTCGATCAGAAAACAGCCCTTGAATCAAAAGAGAAAATACACKGAGTATACACTAACAAATCTCTTGTAATTACCCCAACAACACTAAGGCCATGTCAGTAACTTTCGCCGATAAACTCGCAATCTTATTGGCTCGTGCGATATTTCTGTTAATTAACAGTTCAGTGCCTAACCCAATGGGATCGAGTGAGAGCGATAATACATCGTTTGCTGTTTATTTTTATTGAATTTATTTACTTATTTATGAACTTTATTTTCAAGGCTTTTTCGCCAATTGCCTGCATGTTCGCATAGGAATCTTCATCCACTATCGCGTTCATTATTTATTGGTTTCGAATTTTAGAGTATTCAAATTAAAAAATAGAAAATAAATAAATAAAAATAAATAAAAACATAAGCTTAAAAAAAATAAATATCTAGAAATATCTTAATATTCATTAAGGTCTTGTTGTGATGTTCACGTTGTCGCTTGATTAGTGATCCAACACTTTTCGTAAATAGAGCTCCTTGCGGGGCAAGCCAGAAAAATCGAAAGTTTCCCTTAAGGTAATGTATACACCTATTTCAAAAAACGCTGTCATCGACGAAGGCCGATAGGTGATAGGTTATTCTCGACATGGAAATGGTTTCGTTGATTACAAGGAACATTGAATCAGTCTCAACACTAAAGGCGTGATTACACGGAGCAATTTTCTCTGCAACTTGCCTTGCAACAGCTTTGCGGCACAAGCTGCATCGCAAAACAAGTTGCAGCAATTGCTTGCGTCTCCATTGCACCGTGTAAACACTCATGCAACTTGTGCCGCAACGCTGTTGCTTGGCAAGTTGCAGAGAAAATTGCTCCGTATAATCGTGCCTTAAGGTCAATGTCCTTGACGAGAAAAAGAAGCAAAAACACAAGTCATTCCAGCTATTCTTGGATCTTAGGCGATGTAAACCTTTTATGAAATAGTTATGTAACACGGCTGCGAGCTGCAATTTAACTACAACTATTGAAGGATTAAATTCAAAAAGAAAATGTAATTTAGGGATTAATCAAGGATCAGCATGRCATCTGAATTGTTTAAAGTGCACATGAACCCTTCGACAATACTTTCAGTACTGATTCTGCATAAAGTAAATAGTTGATTGGTAAAATATTTCTTGATTTGAGTGATGCGTCTTTAAGTTATGAAGGTTTATACTTCCAATATGTTAATGATGATGACGTCAGGTAAGGTATTTGAGTGTTTTTGTTGTAACTAGTAATACTAAATGCTGGCCATTTTRAAAATAAAAATTGTAAATAGCTTTCATGTAAACCATGAGTAAAATAATGATGCTTTTTAAATACTGTTTCTATGAACCAGTTCGATTTTGTATATTTGATTAAGCCTTAATAGACGTCACACTCATTAGCATATTGGAAGTATAAACCTTCATAACTTAGAAACGCATCACTCAAATCAAGAAATATTTTACCATTCAACTATTTACTTCGTGTAGAATCAGTACTGAAAGTATTGTCGAAGGGTTCATGTGCACTTTAAGAGAACAAGTCAATGTCATGCTGTCATAAAGCAGTCATTGAACCGACTTAAATCAACTGTACGGTAATTAAGAAATTGAAGCAGAACTGGTCGACTGAGTGGAAAAGCAAGCCTTTAATGCGACTCGTCAGATCTGATTTTGTTCATCGGTTGGATTGCGGCACAAATTACAGAAATTATTATTATGATTACAGAAAAACGGAAATACGAAAAAAACAAACAAAACAAAACAAATAAATAAATAAATAAATAAATAAAACAAAACAAAACAAAAAACAAAAAGCAAAAACAAAAAACAAAAACAAAAAACAAACAAAAAAATCACGTCCATGGTCTGTGCTATGATAATAATACGAAGATATAGAGGATATTACATGGGCGCGTGGAGATACGAATTTTATCTTCGAGTGTTGAAAAGATCTCTCACGATCGAGTGAGCGCAGCGAACGAGTGAGAGGTTTTCGACACGAGAAGATAAAATTCCTATCTCMAAGCGGCCATGTAATATTCTGTTTATTATATAATCATCAAAGAAGTATGTTTTGGCTTTTTCAGGTAATTCTTTCCGTGTATTTTTGAATAGCCATCACAATGGTGTTATTTTCACGTGTGAAGATATCAATTTTTCGAAATAGAGAAAAGTAGATATTTCATTGGTAATTGTATACTAAGGCAAAATCCGGGGACACTAATAGAGGATACAAATTAAAGGAAAAGATGGAAAAAACGACCAATAAGGGAAGGAAAAAACGACCAATAAGGGAAGGGAAGGAAAGGAAACAAAAGGAAATAAAACGAGAAAGAATGAAAAGGAAAATTAGATGTTTCGTTGCAATTGTGTTAGAATGTTGCTTTGTCAGGGTTTTTTATAGGAAATATATGGGAAATAAGCAAATGAAGGCCTAAACCTCATTTTTGAATAAAATTTTTCCTTTGGGTTAATACTTTGATTCCAC